CGTCACGTCCCGACGCCGGAAGGAACAGGTAGGCTTAATAAATAGGGTACAGTCCTAGGATCAGACGAAATATTAGTGGAATAATGGAAGGAAGTAGCAGGTTGAGAACACTTTAAATTATATTATACGATTAATAATTAAGTTAAAAAATTTCAAAAGTTATTCCTTTGAAAGGATATACATAAAGAGTATTTCACGCCTTCCTATTTTCTATTTCAAGAATAATAAAAAGCCCAGAGATATATGGAGGAAGAATCACAAAATTGTTTTGGATTGTATGTAGAAAAAAAATCCTTTTTAAAATTTTAAGGTATCCATTGTATTAAATTTTTCATAGCTTAAAATTGTAAATAAACATTTATAGTTTCTATATACTGTTGTTTATATGTATATCCATTTATACGTCTAACATATACGTATAATACCTTTTCCCCTCAAAAGCTCTTTTTGTAATTATATCCTCATAAAAAACTTTAAGACAAAATACAAATTGAAAACACACCGTGTTTAAAAACATTTTTTCGATAATATATTTGACAACAAAATCATGAGGATAACGCTTCTGGAGTTTATCTTGTGTAATATTTTCCTCATATGATGAAATCAATACAGAGTCATGACTGAAAAACGTGGAAAGTAACATATATAGTTTGAAGACACACTCTCACTAAGGTTACAGGTAACACAACCCAATCTAAAAATACACAAACATATTGAATCACATACATAGAACGTAATGTAAATATTTAACATTTGGTTTACAATTCACATTCATAAGTCACTTCAATGTATATATAAACTTACAACGCTGACCGTTAAACACGTAGGTTTCATAAAACGAGATCACCTCAAGTAAATAATAACAGCTGCCTCGGATGTGACGATAAACTTTTTAGATCATACAATATAAAAACTTAAAATAAATTATTTTCCATTTAATACTGGATCAGCTTTAAATTGCGGAAACACCTGTTATTATTTTAATCATAATTTACTTAACCTGAAATAAAATTGCTTGAATAAACAGCAGCTGCTATCGCCGGCTTTGATCGTAACATTAGCTAATATATTATTATTTATTACCCAATAATTAGTAACAAAGGTTGATAGAGCGACCTTAATACTTCGCCCTATAAGTGGTTATAAGCATTTGTAATAAAAATGTTAGTAGAATAGAAAATCGGATCTTTTGTCTGGAAATGAGACACTCGGGACGAACTAATGAATTCGTCGGACAAACGAATACTTCGTTAAGAAACTTTTAATTAACCTTTTATAGTCACAGTACAGTTGACGCCCGAGTGGTTCTTGGGCGCCTCTCATCTGCTACTTAGAACACATACTATGTTATAATATAGGCTATTTAATATATATTTTCAACATATGCAATATGGAAGGAAATGTTATATGAATTCTCATCGAAATATCTTCGAGTTTATTAATGAATATGCATACTTTTTAATTAAAATATAATTTTGAACAACATTATTCAAGTTCTTAAGAACAGAATCATTATTATACTTATTATGCTCTCATACAGAGAATGCTCACAATAATAAAGAAAATAAAATACTATAGTTGTATTAGTATTAAATAGTAATTGATTTCTTATTGTATCAAAAACCAAACAAAACAAAAATCTTAATATATTAAATATATTAAGAAGTGGATCTACATACTTAGTCTTAATCGTATATGAGGAATTATTTATAAAAAAAATTATTGTAAATTGTATAACATTTGCTCAAAATATTGGATTTTATTAACCAAGAAATAAAACAACTGGATTTAAATATTAATTTATATTTTTGTAATCGAAATTATCACTTGTGACAATTTAATTAAGCTAAAGTTACATGTGCTAAATGGGCCTAATTTTTTTATTTATATGTCATATCTTACAACAAACATGCCAATTTACGTAATAAGTAGGTCAACATAATTAATATTTTATATAAACAAACGATTAAATTTTATATCGGTTGAACCTCGATTAATAAAAAAAAATACTCTTAATTATTTAATTTATACTTAAGTCAAAATTTGATTTTACAAGGACCCATTAAAGGTAAATACAAAATCATAACCTTCATACTGTGTAATTGTATCGAATTTTAAAGTAAGAAGTTTTCATATAAATCAAGAAATATATTTATATAATATATGAATATTTGTCATTTATACCGTTACTTAAACAGAAACCTCCTTGTCTAGTAAATCGTAAGAACACATATGTCATTGTAATAAAATAAATCATTGTCACGACAACTATAAGGCTTCTTAAACAAATTGGACTGTGTTGTAACACAATTTGCTACAACCATAAGAAATATAAGCACATATTAAAGAAAATACACATCAAAATCCTTGATTATAATCGAAAATCTATATTTGACCGTCATCCTGACGCGACATTATACAAAGAAATGTAGGAAGAAATTTAGGAAAGAACAATTAGTAAGACATCCGAAACTCATTAACAACTGGTAATAAAAGTTCGTAAGCGTATTACGAAGATCGCATTCAAAATTACGACCATCAGCCTCAAAAAAATTGCTTCAGTAGACAATGTTTGTGAACAAAATACGTAATTGCGGCTTCAGGAGCTGTTCGTTAACTTACGATTTTTTATATTATTGCACTACAATTAGGGATTTAATCAAATAATTTGCATAAAATTTCATTCACATTCCAATATAAAATAGATAGGTACATATATCGATAGCATAGCAACGGTATTTTTTTTAAGACTTCCACATTTGGCTCACATTATTCTACGTCTCGTATGTGTTGCCATGAATACGATCGCCGCAAAGTAATCGAAACGCGCGTCGGATTGCGTCGCGTTCGAAGTTTAAAATTATTGTTTTTGAAACATAGAAATAGCCTTTAAAAACAAACAATGCATGATAATTTTCATTAATGCCGGTTTGTTATGAAGTAAAGGATAATTTGCCTTAAATATTATGCTTTGGTTTCATTCCTAAACAAAATTATATTACATACAAAAAAATCAGCTAATTTTAGACTTAAGCAAAATATGGATTACCTACTAATATACTTAAAAAAATATTTCTGTAAGCCGTAAAACGCAAAAGTACAAAGTAGGGAAGCCTTAAACATTTTGTTGGCTAACAAATAAACTCGTATTGATACCTATTTCGCTTATGAAAGCAATGGGGCCCAATTGTTTGGTAATCATGTGCTTTATTTTTAGATTCCTAATTGCCATGACATTAATAACAGGAACCCATTAATCCCAATCAAAATTAACCTTCATAATAAATTTCTCTTTGATATGAATTTAATTTCACTACCTTATTTTACCTACCTATAAAAAATATTAATTGTCTCTAAATCAGTTTAGACAACAATAATTGGTAGCCGTTCTAATTAAATTAACTTAAGTAGTATAAGCATAATGTCTTACGATTAACGAAAATCGATATCCCTTAAAAGGTGCTCAATCAATCAGATAAATATAGCTTCTACAATATTTTATATATTATTTCGCTTCTTTGAAAATATATCATAAAAATTCTTATCTTATTTAAATGTATCCTTTTCATTTCAACCCTCATTAAACTGTGATGGCTGACGTATTTTATTATTCCATTAATATATTAATTATATTCAATGATTGTCACTGTCAATTCGTTTGATATTTGAATATTAATGTAACGAAATACAAACAAAACTTTGAACACGTTACATGATCATAATTTCATTAAAACCCAATTCAAATTGACAAAAGATAAGGTAACGAATCACGAAATTGATATTCGAAATACTGGAACAGTTCACATTGTATTTTCATTTCTTTGTTCTGTATCTTCACAAGGAATAATGAAAGAGGCTAGCTTAAAACTTCAAACCTAATAAATATTTGTGACGTATAATATCAAGGAACTGATTTAGTTGCAAGCTAATATGTAGTATCATATCTGTGATTTTAAGCCATTAAAAGTTACGTAAAACTATGAATTATAATTGCGAACCCTATGATCTTAACATAGATTCGTTACAACTTTAGTATAAAGCAGCTTTTGTTAAATATTTAGCAGAGAACGAATGCCAAAAACTGCAAACTGAAACGAAATTGATTGCATGGACTTTGTCCTTCGGAAATTATGTAATTGAAATCACTAAGATCAATTGTAGGTATAATAAGAAATAAATTCAAAATGTTATTTTAGGTATGTTAAAATCTCATGTTGTTAATTTTGTTAATTGATTTTTATACATGTATAAATTTATTTTTATAAAAATAAAAAGCTGCATGTTCTTACGTCATGTGTAGCAAGACAACTCAGTACGTGCAACGATACTCTGCGATAAAACGAAATAAATAAATGTTTCCCTTTTATCCCTTGCTCGTTATCGAACGATTAAAAATGTACATAACTTTATATAAACATTTGAGTTAAGAAACACTATCCGTCAATAAAATCGTATAATCAAAAATAACACAAACAATATATATGCCAATGACCCAGTGGTCCGAAATAACATCTAAGGCAGATAACAATATTTTTTTTTTGTGTTGGCTTCTAAATAATCCGAATATGTCAATATTCCGAGTTTATCGAACAGTATTTAAATCTAAAAAATCAGGCTTTAAGAGATATTATATGGTTTACGTTATTTATTGGATATTTTAAATTTAATACCCATAAGAAATTACAGTTATAGCACTATTACAGAAATGTCAACATTTAAAAATATGTTGCAGGTAGAAATAACAATTTAAAAAATTTTGTAAAACCGTGCGAACGTTAAAAACTGGTTTATGCATTTAAATCGTCGGTTAAAATTGACACAGTTGAAATATTTCCAAGGACAACAAATGAGCATAGCTAGTGTTTCGTAACCGGATTTATTTGAAGGCATCATCGGGAAGGAACCGGCTTCAGTTGATCATAAATCACACTACAAAGACACCGCTGTTCCCTGCTTGGTTGTATGTAAATCCTTTAAATAATCTGTTAGCACCTTACCTCCTAGAATTCTTCGAGGGCGACGTCCCTCCAACACGCCGAACGGAACGGGCGCCGCGATCCCAACATAAACACACCACAAGCATAAATCGAGATCAGTATAAGGAACTTAAAACAGTGACTACTAACAAAAAACACTACACTGTCACAGAATTTTGTCACTGAAATCCAATTAAAATAAACGTTTTTATTCAAGAATTACGTTAATCTATGCGGGCATGTCTTTATGAATTTAGAAATAAAGTCCGGAGCTTCACGGTAGCATCGCATACGGCGGCCGCTCGATGACTGGCGAGCGTTCGTTTGCGTCGGTCGGGTTACCTTGGGTTAGCAACTTACTAGTGGCAAAATATACGCGGTCCGGGGAGAGTTGCGGCGTGCAGAGGGCGGGCGCACATCCAAAGGTACCTTTCCTTAATGGTTGGATTATATCGGACATTGAAAATGAATGAATGAGTTACAGTACGTCCAGTACCTTACGGGTTATCTATGCGTTGCATACTTGTTCCGGTTGAATAAAGTAACGTTTATTAAAAAAATATTCTATGTATGGTTTTGCATTTGTTGCTATTACTATTGCAAAAATAAAACGTATGTTCACGTATGATTAACCTCTTTGGAATGTTTGGTTTGGAGAAAGGAATATTTTAATTAATCCGTAGGTAGTTTATTTTCTTAAATGAAACAAATAAACTTTAACGAAATTGATACTATAAGGAGTTGAAGAAATGATTCATATTTTAAGATGAATGATATGAAAGTACTTATAAAGGGCATTTTTTTAACAGAAGTCTTGACAAATTTCAAGTTATATTAATGTTAAGACATAGGTTATATTTTTTATAAGGAGACCGGTGTGTTTTTGCTATATTTGTAATACATTTTTTGGTTTGTTAGATATGACTTATGAAATTTTTAAACTAGATTTTATGCTTGGGTCTATAGGATATCATTTGTCTAGAATAGTAGCTATAATTTGATAAATTTCGAGCTATATTTTGAAACTCATAGGCTGTAACTTATTGTAATGGAAAATTTATAGTATAAAAAAGTTATTTATAATGTATATGCAAGTCTATTCTTTCATGAAAGCTCGGAACTATGCAACCATGCAAAAATACATAGGTACTTAATATATCCATGCGTCCATTGCATATAACGATATAATATCTAACGTTTGTACTGTAAGGAGAAACTGGATAAAAAAAACTGTTGCCCAGCTGTCATATAAAATTGCATAAATAATTTATTACTATTAATTTTTAATTTTATATGTAATTTATTTAAATCGGATTACATAAAATTATACAATATTAATGCCATAGATTGGTATATAACGGGTTCTGAGACATAAATGACTTCGAATGAGCGAGCAAATCCAACTTACAGAAATAAACTTGAGCATAACAGATATTGAAATCCGTTGATAGAAAAATGTAAGAATACACCACCGCCAATTAAATAAGTCGTTGTTTTTTTACAGATAACGAGAAAACAATGATTGGTAGAAAAAGAAAAAACCTGTAATATAGAAAAATGGAAATAAAACTTCATAGAAAACTCATAGTGTATTTATTATAACATGGATTAATCTTAATGGTAATTGATGTGTTTTCCATTCCAAATTTTGACAAAAAATGACGCATTTAGAACGAATGATTCAAATGTCAATCAAACAAAACTTGACAAACTTTCTTTGTCCATATCGATATCGATTAAATAATTTCAAGACGGCTGACTCATTTCGCGGTATTGAATATAATGCATTTTATAATTTTCTATATATTTTCTAAACAAAACGCTATAAAATGATATCCCTTAACAATAAAGGGGTCGTCGTCCGTTCTGACGTATGCACGGCTATTTGTGTACCGAATGGTAAGTGTCAAACATCAGATTAACAGAATGCAAGCTCCCTGTATGATTTACACACAACACAGGCAATACTCGAACGTTATGATACCACTCGTTGACCTCATGATAAAAGCTTTATTCATTGTTCTCATACCGCAATCGATAAATTCAAATAATGATCAATTAAATTATCATTGACATCCTTGTTATATAAAACTGGTGATTTTAAGCTTATTTTCTCTTTTAAAATATATATTTACGTAACTTATCGACATAATATTAGTGCCAAAACTGAGATGTTTGAGAGTATTTATTTTAGTACTAAGGTTATTGTACTGTTATGATTTTAGTATTGATGTTAGAAGATCATTCAATTCAATTGGGATTGTTTTAGATATAAAATCAGATTCAGAAAGTATTACATTGATGTTTTAGAATAGAATAAAAGAAAAACTACTTCAGAGCTTTTGAAGGACTTTTCTTCAGTATTTTACTTAAAATTTTGATTAAAATTTACGTCACATAAGAAAATATAAGATCAGAGAGTCCGCGATGAGTAACTATGTAGTAAGGCAACTTTATCTAAACTAAGTCTATAATATTTTCTAAAGAGATTTCTGTAAATTGTATTAGTTCTATAATGGATTCAGACTAAAAGTACCCTTAAAGTTAATTGGAGATAGCTGCAATCATCTTAAAGCAAACGGACTGTAGAGATTCTTAAATTACATTTATTGTCATATTTCAAGTCGCTACCTCACTTGACCTTAACAGGTCTGATCCCGGGATAGATCAGATTGCAATTGAGATCCTTAAAGAACATGCTTTAACTGAAATTGATTAAATTCAAAACATAAGCAACTAAAAATAAGTTGTGTATTCATGCAATTGTTTTTATTATAAAACAATTTTGATCTTATATTTAATTTTAAATTTAATAAGTATAAAAAATAAATGATGATAAATTCCTCTAATCAATCAGGATTCGAACGTTAAACCACCGTAATATCGTGTTCCAATTCTTTACCAATTAAGCTATCGTGGTACGAATTTAAATTTCTATTTAACTGGTTAATGAAAATAAATACGAATACTTAAGGCAGAGTCTCAAATTGAGCATACTTATGACAAATGATGAGGGAGAATTTTTAAAAATAGAACAAATAATTTGCTCTTTCTTTGTTAATTGTTTTCAAGATAACTTCATAACAATAATTTTCTTCGACATTTTTAAATCGTTCATTTTTTTCTTATAACGGCCTATTCGGTTCCATTTAATGTGTGCCTTTTATTTAATAAAATACTACTGCATGACTCAGATACAAGTTTAGGCTTATAAGCACTAAGACTTAACTGCAGATCCTTTTGTGTTTTACGTTCAGAATGTATGAACTTAAAATCACTGGCCAGGCTAATACACTTTTAGGTCTAATACAAAATGAAAATGTTTTACCTAAGTTTGTTTTATACGCCATATTTATTTACCTTTAGTATTTTACCTCGTTTCAGTGGACCGTGGAACTACAATTTCTTTCTACGTTCAGCCATTTTCATCCCTTTAAATGCTGGTATTTTTCTAGGATTACCTATAAAAGTGGTATAGTATACAAAAATTTTAATTTTACATGGCTGTTAAGTAAACTATCTAGTTTTTTCAATACCATTCATTTAATGTCTAGTAACTAGTTCAAATTTAATCTACGTTAAATTACAGATAGTTAAGTGATTGGGCACGTACGACATACGTGTCGATGCATCTTTAAGTGAATACCACAAATGTAATAGTAATTTTTATATTATTTTTTAAGACATCGGTCTCTTGCAGTTTTGAAACGAATGCGCCGCTATATCCGTCGCATCGGCCCTGCATTTTGATTACCGTCATTATTTACGAAACAATTGTGGCCATAGAGCTAACAACCTATATATTGCATAACAAAAGGAGTCATTATAGTAAAATAAAAATAAATGTAGCTGCACTGGAGCCTTGTATAAAATCGTTATGTAGGTATTATTATATAAAAACTACTATCTGTACGATTGCAACGAAAGTACGCAAAAATGAATGTGCAATTCAGGTTATACAGTGTCTATATATTTTTTTAATCATATCATTGAAAGTTCTAAAAACAGTTCATTTTATTTTCTAGCTCTTACTCATGTGCCTACGGTGAAGTCACAAAGATATTTTATTATTAGTACTTGAATTTGGACATACGCCATAAAAATTCGGACGTTGATAATTGTAATATCTACGTATATCCTACATATTGAGCTAGGTTTGATTTTTATCTTCAGAATTTCTTTAGAATATAATATGAACACATACATTAAACAATCTTATTGAATGATTATAACATATTGTAAATGGATGCATTTTGAACTACACATAGAAGTTGGTTCTACGAGTTGAACACTTTTAGATTGCATATCTCAATATAACAACACCAAACAGCAAATGCCTTATGTACGTCCTCGTTGTTAAAAGGAAACATTTCAACGAGATATTATAAGGAATATCCTCGAAAGAATATCTACAAGAATACAGTTAACATAAGGCCACAGTCGTTATTAAATAATTACCTTTTTCCTTTGCATTTAAAGTACTCTTTTATCAAAGAACTGAAATAATTCTACTAATGATTTGGTTTTTCGTTTTAATAGTTAAATATTATAACAGTAGCCTGAATGGAGAGGAACAGTATGCTGTCTGATGAAGCCGTATGAAGGATGGGTCTGAAGAGTCGCCTTATATTTGAACCTTGAAAGAAACACCATGATCTTCGTTTTAGGGCTCTTAGTCATAAGAGGTCTGAAGAGTTCTACACTACTGGTATTCCTCAGTCAGTAGTCCAATTCATGCGCTAATCATATACAAAAGGCTGCTCGCCAACACTGTATAATTTCAGGGAAGCTGTATCGTGTATATGGGCAACCGGATAACTGAACCCAAAGGCAATTTCTGGTGGGGTTCAAACATCCCTAAAGTCTCCAGATTAACAAAAGGTCTGCACACATCGAAGTCTGCACTGTATTCTTTTAGCAGTCGACCACTACGTAGAAAATATTAAGCCGCACTTTTTTTTATTGAGATAAATTCTAAATCTCAAACCCTGTCTTTTTATTAGTTATGTGAATCAGTGTGTGTTGTCAACGTCTCATACACCTATGGAATTGAAAGATTCCTAATTTTTTACCCTCTAGATACTGGTGGACAAAGGTAATAAAAATAGTTTATGGCAATATCTGACAAACGCACAGAAGTGACTAGGCGACGTCATGCTAATCTGAATATCTCAATGAGGCTGCCGTTGTGGCACTACAGCAGTACCCTTCAGCACAGATGGTTATTTTTAAAGCTTTTTGCTCTAAATCAAAGCAGTCGAGAAAATATATAACATCAAAAAGTCGGTTTGTCCCACAAAATACGAAACATAATTGTTCCATTCTTAGTGAATTTAACTATATACAAGTTACTAAGCAAATTTAATCACTTGTGGGACAAAGGATTACCTAAATAAATATTTTGCCAACAACCATTAACTCGCTTTACTTTCTATTAGCTTAATCAAATTGAAACATCTTATTGTACACATGAAGATTAAAAATTAAACATAATAGTTTTGTTTGAGTTTTCACTTATTCTATTTTAATAAACTTTATATTGTAACTTTACATTAATTTTATTCCACAAATTCAGTGTGAAGTAAAAAAATTATATTCATAGAATAAGCAGGGAAAACCAACAAAAACTCTTATAGCATAAATAAATACACGAAGAGGAACATAGGATACAATAATATGAAGGTCTCCGGTATTGTGAGTCGCCTTGAATAATATATTCTGAACGCATAAAACAATGACAGGGTCCCCTGGTCCGGCAGATGACAGAAGCATCACAGATAATATTCCGACATTGATACCGTGGAAGAATAACAATCAATCAATAATATTTTTTGAATGTCCTTACTGTAATGGAAATGTGTGATTGACTAGAATTCTCTATTACCATTCCGATACTTAGATATTTTAGGTTTAATTAAATTACATACATTTTACCTGTTAATTGTTATATATCCGTAAGATTTTTCTCGTAATTTTTATTCAGATTGAGACTTGAAATAGGTGCTTCAGTTTTAATTCTATTTTTATTCTTTACTTTAAACATTCAAAGTATATAATAATAAATATTTTAATAATTTTGTTTCAAATACTAATAGTTTGTTATTAAATGCCAAATGCAAATATTCTTGTTAAATCCAGGTCACAGGATGTTCAGGCAACTCCCATATCGGCTAGTAACACGGAGTGTGCCTTTCCTGAGGAACTAAAATAACATTCTCATAGATTCAATATTACCATGTACATTTTAACGTGCCTTTAAATAACGAATACCAGCCGCTGCGAATCGAACTCCGAATAAATTAAAAAAAACATACACGCACAAAAAAATGTTTTAAAATTCGTCTGACCTTTTCAAAATGCCCGTTCATGTTTATCTATGTTTTATAGATTCATAGCTTATTTGAAAGGGGAAATTTATTCTGCATTTTTTATTCAACAGCGAAACTACACGACGTGAATATTTTAGAAAATTTTGTTTTACTCTAACTAACACAAAGCTCGCCTCCAGCTCCGTCTAACTATCTGGTTATAAGATTATTTCTTTATAGAAAGTATATTTAGAAACAATATATTTCTCACCTTTCCATCAAGGGTGAGCAGTGTGAACAAACAATAGCTATCGTCACAAAGAGCCGTGGAGTGTCGCGAATCCATTAAGTGTAATCCAAACCATGTTAAAACAATGAAACTTATATAAGATAGTGCACTGACAATGAAACATTACTTGTTTCCCCTTCAATTAGTGTTTATATACAGAGATAAAGAGCAGACGTCTAATGTAGCTTTAAAATTATTAAATTATTTGTATCACGTACCTTTTGTGATAATTTGAAGTTATAATTAAAATATCTGGAAGCTGTCTGATTCAAAGCCGCTAAGTACAGCCCCGGGCTAGCAATCTCGTAGCAACTGTGCCTTAAACAGTGTCTGAAATTTAAATTAATTTCAATATCAATTTAAATATACGGAATGTGTACCTAATTATATTCTAGTCGATTCATAAGTCAAGGTTTCGGATAAACTGAATAAAATTTCCAATATCCACGTAAATAGATTTGTGGCATTAACTAGCTCTTCTTATATAAGGTAGGTTGGCACGAGATTTATATAATTTATAAATATATATATTATTTCAATTCTCAGTTTTATTCTAGTAAATATATCATTAAATAGAAAGACATTAGATAGAAAGAAGACGTCGTTAAAATAACTTTTTATTATTACTAATCCTTATAACGCTTACAGTGGAACTTTTATGTTTTATTGACCTCACTCTAGATTGTAAAACATATAACTGTTTTATTTTTCTATGTAGAATTTTGAATATTAAATCTTTCTAATATCATATCATGAAAGCTGATATTTCTGACAAGTGATGAGTCAACTTAACATTTGTTCCTTCTCTTACTATCTTAAATAATATTTCAAACAATTCAACATGCATCCAATATTTTAACAGTAGACATGATTTATCTGTCAATGAGATTTTGTTACATTTTGTGATTATGTACCGTAATTAAATTGAAGTAAAGGCGGAACATGAAAATTTCATAAATATTTTAATAATTTCCTCATAACAGCAGACATTGGCATTGTGGAAGGTCGAGCTATGGGGTGGTTATGGGGATTGGCACGCGATCCTTCAATTTTGGAGGCCGACAGTCACCGTCCAAGGCGGGAATCCGATCAGCATCGAGGTCAGATCATACACTACGATAGAGAAAATTTACTATGACGTACAAATATTTTATTACCGTCTTTGAGGGCGAAGGTTTCATATTAAGATGACCGTTTTTTCTTAACAATATGAAGTTCTTACCTAGAGTTCAGGAAGGTTCATCCTACAAAATATAAATGAATATATTTATAATACACTTTTCTTAAACGATGATTATTAACTCTCCAATTCAATAAAAACTAATATTATATTATTTGACTTGCTCAATACTCAGCTAAGTTATTGTTACATTTACAAGATACAAGAAAATATTGATTGAACAAGAAATATATCTAGTATTTTCTTATATACAAATGGTGCAACCTCATATCAATTTGCTCATATAACGGAAATATGTCGCCAAGATTTTTTGCACTTTTTCTCACTTCAGATGAATAGCAGAAAAGCAACTTTGCGGTTCTTTTAACAAGTTTTAAGTCTTAAACAGTTTTTTTTTTACGAACGCTAACTCTTTTTTTCCTTTTTGAGTCCTCCCCGATCCACGTTATGGAACAGAATAGTTAGATAGTTTGAAAAATTGAGAAAACTTAAAGTTTATCGAGTAAAATCCTTTAAATCATATTTTTTTTAGTACTTATTACAAACGTGTTTGAAAATATTTGAAGCAGTAGGTAGTGGTAGAAGTTCTCGAAGTGAAAAAATAGAAATATTCTCAGATACCTCCTGATACGTTTACGAAGACCAATACGAAAAGGTTTGTAAAAAACTTAACAATATTGGCCCGAATGGGTAATAAAAAAACAGTAAAGGAAACATAAACATAATCAATGGGAAATCAAAAGGCAATGTATTAAGGCAGCTATCATCCTTCCCATTACGTAATTGTCAGTCTGAAACTTATTCCAAAGTTGAAGCTTCCGAGCAAAATTCAAAGAAGAGACAAGAAAGAAATAAATTGTAAGTGTCTAAAGATCAATAGAGGAAAGTTGACAGGAAGCGGTTGTGTTCTGTGTTGTTGGACGTGACTCAAGCTATGATTTCACAAAAGAAAATTTTCTCTTCCGAAACATATAACATACCATTATTCTCTAGCAAAGTTACTTATGTGCAAAGTTCGTACGTACTCGCAGGGTTGAGTATTAATTTCAGTACTTCTTAGAATTTGAATCTATTATATTTTGTTGGTTAGTTATTGTAGTCATTTTGTTGGACAATGCTTATTGTTTTCTATTTCAATAAACTTTATTAGAATTACATAAACTTAAAATATTACTCTTATCCCGAATGATCCCGATGACCCAAATAATAATTCCATATAAACACTCTCATCTCATCGATAAATAAATAGGACCTTGAAGAAAATGTTATTCTAATTTAAATTAAAAGTTTCCAGTTCTATCTTAATATATCAATTAAGCATTTAAAAGCACTGGAGAAATACTAAACTCAACCGAATCAATTTTGATTTAAAACGAATACGTAAAGACTTCAATTCCGAAGGGTGAAATAAAATCAATCCAGGTCGAAGAAAATTAAACACTTCAACAACATTTACAAAACAAATAGATTATATAACACGGTAAAATAGTATAATGAACGCTTGTGTTATTTTAATTTTGTACATATTTACTTCCATGGGGCATAAAAAGGTCAAGTCCGTGGGGCAGCGGTGGTGGTACGGGGCACGAGTCACGCTCCGCCGCCCCACACAAGGCCGCTGAACATCAAAGCCTCGATGCCAACAAATTATCCCCTCCGACGGACAACGTTAACTCTATATACAATTCCAATACGAATAGAGCTATAAAAAATACTCTGTCTTTTAGTTCAAATAATACATTAAAAACAAGTCCATTAGACAATAATAAGGCATTAGCATTATTAGCGTCATAAATAATGAATATACTCGTTTTTTGTATTAAAAATATATGTATTAAGCTTTAAGCAGTATGATAATGTACCGTTACTTACAAATTATTTCAATAACATCTGTTTTATTTATTAAAAAAATGGTATTCTTACCCATAATTGTGTTTCGTAAATACTTTTTATAGGTTTTATTTGTCATTCTCGTTTTCTTTTAATAGATTCTTCCTTGATTTTCTATAATTAAAAGCAAAATAGATTATTATGCGGGGGTGTTATGATTTTAATGACATTTACAGTTGAGGAAGGTTAAATGTCACTTAGCTGATAAAAAAACGATTGAGCTAATATTATTAGGTATATATCACTAAGTGGTGGTATTTATAACTATTTCCAAAATATACATAAAATTGCTTCAGGTTAAAGATTACAGTGTTTTTATGTATCTTATCTAAACTTCATCAACGAAATACTTTTTTACAAAAATTCACGTCAAGGGAATTCGCTTCATTTAGCACATAAACAAATTCAATTTTATGAGCGATCAATTTTTCATCTAAATTGAAAATGTATTTGTATTACTGGTTCCCCAAATGAATAAATTATTCTACTGATCAATAAATACACTTTGATTTCTTATGAGTTATTTTTCAAAATGTTTAAAGAAGTGAATAGTGTTTTTGAGATAACTAATAATTGTGAAACTAAAAATTGTTTTTTTTCCGACTTTTCTCTGAGGGTAAGCTCTCACGCCTTAGAAAATCCAAAATAATCTTCACTTAACGATGACAAAAATATTATACTCCACATATGTATATATGGATATTAAGTCAGTGGTGGCTCAGTGGTTAAAGGGCCCGCCTCTCGGCCTCTCGTTGCCGAAGGCGCGGGTTTGATCCTGGCCCGGGCAAGTACCAATGTGATTTTTCGGAATCATATGTACTTTCTACGAGTATTTAGACATCACTGATTAATGTTGATTCCCAAAAGAGGGTTGATGTCAGGCAGGCGGCCGGTCGTAAAAACAAATAGCCAAAACTATTCACAACATGTAAGGCCAGACCCTGGCTATAGCTGGGAAATTGCCAGGTAGAAGAAGATATGTATATATGGATATATAAGTAGATTTGGTGGTTTTAAAAAAAGTTGTAAACCCGTAGAATGCTGGAAAAAGAGACGTGATTAATGATTAATTATTATCGATGTATATGTATCATAAAATAAATTATAATTCTTTTCAGGAAATAAATATATTCATATTTCTATAAAATTCTATTGGTAACTAAGTTAAACAGTAGAATTAGAAATAGTGTAGAGGGCTCTAACGGATAATGGTATATTATTTTCAGAAACACGACTTTTATAAGGCTAGTCACAATGAAGGCGATTATATGATTTCAGCGGTTTTGCAGTTCAGATTTTCATTCTAAAAATCTTGTCTTCGCAATTTATTGTGTTAACGTTGGTTAATTGAATTGATAACGGAAAAGCTTCATATGTAGCCAGGCAAGTTATAGTAAGCATACTATATAATATTCATGTTTTATTCATGTATTATGCTCTAATTTATAATATTATTTTCATTTTCTCACTATACAAGCATTGTAATTGATCTTAGGGGTTCTATGGCTCAAGCTGTGAGAAAACCGTAACAGATCCTGGAACACCCAGATAGTATTCCAGCCATAGTACTGGAAATTTATGTACCCAAGTTTTCTTTTGTTTAAACACTTCAAATTACAATTCAAGGGTAGTAATGCTTAGGTCAGGTCAAGTTACTACAGCTCCAACCTTGGCTGGGTCAACTGGAGAAATACCACCGTATTACTGAAGATCGGTGAGAATTAGTTTGAAATGGCTTCCTTTCGTCAAATGAGTGACAGAGTCGATAGCCCTCTTTCCTTTCCCACCCTTTCCTTTCCCTCTTCCACAAATAAAGGCAGCAAAGCATCCGCAACATTCCTTATGTCGCAGATGTCCGTGGGTGACGTGAATTCCACCCATCACGTACTCCGTATGTTAGTTTGCCCCTTCCAAATAAAAAAATAATTATTAAGGATTGTTTTTCTGAGGCAATTGAAGTCCCCAGGGTTAGGTCTTGCAACAACTCTATTATTACTATACATTAACAAAACTCGCTGTCTTTGCTTACGTAGATGACAATAGATTTGTTTAGTGATAATAATCAAACTCTGGTACTAAAGGGAATCAAACAAAGTTAAGAAGAAAAGAGATGGTAGAGCGTATTGACTTACCATTTCATACACTCTCTGACTGACTTGAGAAACCTATCCACCTTAACCCAACTTTTCTGTATTTATCCTTGAAATACTTCCACTGTCTTCAGTTATTAGCTAATGAGATATCCTTAAACCTTGACTTTCGGTGAGTTATTGAGTGGAAAACTATGCAGCTGCATAAGTACCCGTGGCCTTGCAAAAGTACGGAAGTTTTTTTCTATAAAATGCCCGGGTCCGGAGATGTGTCGAATATGTCAGTCGAATTCTTTGTTCATATCTATCGAGTGTTCCGTACGAGTTGTCAAGCTGCCCAGCTATATTTTTATAATTGTATTATTATTTTTTTAAGTGAATGTAAATTATTTTTTTAAATAAAGTTCTTAAACCCGAATTTGAGCAGGTTTTTCATAATGTCAACGCACTGTTTTGTAACTTATAGACAGACTAGGTCAAAACAAATCTTGTTAGCCTCAAGCTAGTAAAGTGACCACCCTCTCAGTATTCTATAGGATATACCTTGGAGAGTGTGGGTGTCGTATGTTTCCTTTTCATTACCGGACAACAACAGGCACGATGGTCTACAAACCTTTCGTTGTAGACCTTCCTCATATCCGGATGAAGTGATCCGCTTCCTCTGAAATAGCGCGTTAACAACTTACGGCATTATTTTTACCTAACAACAGGTGGAATGACAGTAAAGCAATAACAACTCGAAATAAGTATAAATGATTTGAAGGAAACTTATAAAAATGTATTAATAAATGGCGTAAAAATATTTTTGTACCTTTAATCTAATAATTGTAAAGCCATATATTTAAAATTAAAATGCCTGATAAGTAATCAATCTTTTTGCTTACTATATCATGTTTTATTTAATTAAATCATAATATTTAATATCAATAAACATGTTTTTAGCAAAAGAAATCTCTTCAACTGTCTGCATAAAGTCACAAATGTATATTATTATTTTTGTCACACCAAAATACAGAAAATTTAAAAAAATACAACAGAAAAAAGCCTTTAAAACAAAAGAGGGCTTATCTTTTAAAAGAGATTTCTTCAAAACACCCTTTTAGTGAGATATAAACTAAAAGGAACAGAAGATCGTATATGAATTTATGCAGAAAAAATAAACAAATTACACTGATAAGTATATCAAACATTTCTGTAGTAAATGCATAACTATACGACGTATTTATAGAATAAAATTAAACTATATAATATATGTATTACTTATAATGGTTTGTCTAAAGATCTTTGTGATGTGTATATAATTTTAATTAGATGTTTTTAAGATGAAATTCACTGTTTTGCTTCACACAGCCGACAATATTCATTACAATGTAAAGTGAGTAAGATAAAGTAAGTATTCAGAGACGAAGATATTTATTTATTTTTTACTCCAGTAAGAAAACGTGTGCTGATGAAATAATACAACGCACAGGATAGAAAAAAATGCAAATCACACATGAAAGGAACTCGGGAATTCTTCGAAATCCAGACATATTGTACTTGATAAAATTATGAATAGAGTGGTTAAATTTTGAAATCTCTCACGGGCAGATGAGATGAAAGTGTCTGTAATCCCCATTTGCTTTAGAGTACCCGAAATGTCGGGTAAAATACAGTGATACAATACGCATATGACAACCACAGTTTTATTTAAATTTGTAGTCGCGAAAATTTATAAATAATTAATTAAAACGTTATTATTACTGTTTTCTATACTGTGCGCAGCATTATCAACGTGAGGTTAATTGTGTCGTTTAATTATGTCAGTATACAATATTCTTAACTAAAGTTTTAAATGTGACTCCAATTAAATAATACAAAATAAAACAATTTCCTTTCATAATAGCAACTTTTCTATCGCATTGAAAAATATAGGCAATGTAAGAATGGAGTATGATACAAGTATGTATATGTCTACAGAACAACTTTGTATTATTGTATAACATTTTTACGGTTTGAATCTTGTTTTGTTATCAAACATCAGTTACTCTACTTCATATAGAAACTACGGACGCGATATTCCGCTTCTATACAATACGCGCACTCCACAAGCCAAGCTAAAATGAAAGGCACATTTAATACAACCGCAGTTTATCCTGGCCACAATGAATCCAACCGTGCTCTCTAGGCCAGCTTCCCTATAGGACTATTCATACCGGAGGAAAACAAAAGTTCCCTTTTTCCACGGTGTGAAACTGTAGAGGCTTTCTGGTTTTAACGTTTAGTCTAATAGTTTTTACTTGTATAGGTACATTTAAACTGTATCATAACAGACAACACACACACTTTGTAATCAAAATTAACCAGTAAATAAACATATAATCAACCCCCCTCTATAATCTAATATAAATGTATGTCAAATGTTTATGATCGTTGAATTTCCTATTATAAAATAATTAAGGTTGCTTCCTTTGAAGCTTAAAATATTTTATATTAGTAGGGGAGGCCGGGACTGAAAGTTCCGATTTTCAAATATCTTAAAATTTTATCATGAAAATGATAAGATTTTAAATTAGATAATTGATTTTATTAAAAATTCTTAATCACTCTTTGTTATAGTAATTAATCTGATAATTTCTCAATATTTTTTTGTACAGGTATTATTTCACAAAATTTCGGTAAGTAACATCCGACCCCACTTTATTAATAAAGTACTGGGTGGCGCAAAAGTACTGGCACTAAAGAAAATACTTTTATTTTTTTTACATGACATTTTCTGTCATTCTGTTGTTGAAAATTGTGTAGTGAACAAATGTAAAATACACTGAAAATAAACATGGACCGTTTTACTCCCCAAGAACGTGGAATAATTGTGTCAATGTTCTTACGGAATAATTCATCAGTGATAAGAACACAACGTGAATTTCGTCGACGATTTCCCCACCGTCCGGCACCGATTGGTCGCACAATTCGACGCTTTGCCACACGCCTTGAAGCAACTGGCTCAACATTGGATAGACCTAAGTCTGGGAGACCAAGAACAGGCCGTTCAGCTGAAAATATCGATGCTGTGCGCGAAGATGTGGAAGAGTGTCCAGAAACATCAACGAGGCGACGTGCCACGCAATTGGGCATTTCCAGACGGATCCTGCAGCGTATTTTGGTGAAAGACTTAAAGATGTTCCCGTATAAAACTCAAATGACTCATCAGCTGCTGCCTGCTGACCACCGCGCTCGTCTAGATTAGTGCCAGCGCGTCATAAACCTCAACCTTGAAGAGTATGATTTTCCTTCAAAATTGGTTATGAGTGACGTAGCGCATTTCCATCTCTCAGGGCATGTCAATAAGAAGAATACTCGGTTCTGGGGCACTGATAATCCGCGCATTATTCAAGAAACACCTCTACACCCACTAAAAGTTACTGTATGGTGTGGCATCTGTGTTGACAGAGTGATCGGACCCTATTTTTTCGAAGACGCTGGAGGCAATGCGATAACTGTCACTGGAAAACGCTACAGAACCATGTTATGTGAGTTTTTGATACCCAGTTTGGACGAATTGGGGCTGGAGCACATCTGGTTTCAACAAGACGGTGCTACGGCACACACAGCGCGCGACACTATGGACTTAGTGAGGGACGCTTTTCCAGGCCGAGTTATCTCTCGTTTTGGCGATTTGCCTTGGCCTGCAAGATCACCCGATTTGACCAGTCCAGACTTCTTTCTTTGGGGTTTTTTAAAATATCGGGTGTATGTGAACAAGCCACAGACTCTCGCAGATCTAAAAGAAAACATTCGTCAAGAAATAACGAACATATCGCAGGAAGTGTTACGGCAAGTTATGCAAAATGTCATAAATAGGGCTCAAATGTGTATCAACTCTGGAGGTCACCATTTAAAAGACATCATCTTTAAATCCTAATGGTACGAAATTTAATGGCACAAATATACATTTAAAAAAACCTAAATCTAGTTTTCTCATTTAGAAAAAATGTTATAGCTGAACCAAATAGGGTCTTTACTTTTGCGTCACCCAGTATAAGGATAATGTGTGGTTTCTTATAAACAAAACAATAATTCATTTTATGCAATTCTATAAACTTAAAAAATTAACGAAAAACATTAATAGCGACATCTAAATATATTTTTTGTATTCATTAACAGAAAATAAAGTACATATTAGATTATAAATCTCACAATATACATACTTAAAGATACAAAAAATTCTCACCTACTCGAAAGAATACTCGATATAAACTCTTTTTATAACTTATCAATATCGGCACTTCCATAACAGAACTTAAAAAAGGACAACAAAATATAATTAATATCATCAGTTTCATTTATACATTGAACATGTGCCCAATTTTTACACATGCTACATTGTATCCACTGTTTCCTTGGAAGGGAAATGGAATATGAGTCACAACAAATCATGCAGTAATATTCTGAACCCTCATCAGCACTATCACTCTCGCTTTCTTGTAACACTCTTCGTTTATCTCCTTTTTAAGATTTTCCTTTTTCCTTGCCTTTACCTTTTCCTTATTATTGTTGTTTTTCTTTCCCTTGTTTCTAATAGCTTCGTCTTTTCTTGCTTCCTTCTTTACCTGTTCTTCAGCTAACTCATCTTTTTCTGGCGTGTCAGTCAAAACAGCAGTCTTTCTTTTTGTGTCCGTCTGCAATCTTGGGGGTGCCTTTGGCAAAGGCTTTACAATTTCAGGATTAAACACCACTGAAGCATTAGTCTTTGTTGGTGTTAAATTAAGTTATTGGGCACTATTAATGGTTGTAAAGGCAGCCTGAGATACATGACCCTGATCTGTTGCAGATTGTTGAGTTGGTTCATCAATCTGACCCATTGTTGATGTATATGATAATAGATATTTGAATATTTAATTGTCCTGGCTGGTCAACCATTTCCAATCTCAACTGAACTACTAGAAGGTTGGAGGGTTTCATTTGATTCAGATTGAGAATACGTAGATGCTAAAAAAATAAAAGCATACCATAAAGATGTAAATATAATTTAAGAATCGAATTTGGTAAGTTGTTCCTCTGAACAACCAGCCCCTTTGGGAAGGAATTTGTATCCCCAGATCATATTCATGTATAAAAACTGTTATGCTAGTAAATTAAATAATTCCATTGAAAAAACATTGAAGCCATATGAAACCAAACTAATGCCACTCTATATTTGAAAGGATGAAAACAAATCGGTCAATAATAAAGAAAAATAGAACAAAAAGTTTAAATACGAAAAAATGTACTCAGTTGTGTTTTAGCAGCACAGTCCATACAGCCACTCGTCCGCCGTCGTCGAAGAAACTAATATGGCCGCCAATACAGCGCGGCAATTGATGCTTGAACTACGCACTTTACTTATATTACTATGTCTTTTCTTTAAAAAGTTATTACTGTCGGAACAACGTTCCCCGGGAACTTTCAGACCCGGCCTCCCCTACATGTCGTCGATAGTTTCTTTAAGATTTTAGATTGAATATAAGACTAATATCTTAATATTATTATTACGAATATTTCCAGAAAATCACCAAAATTATTGAGTATCATTTAACTTTTTTTCCTTATAAAAAATATATATTTATTTACATTTTAACGTTGACACCGTTTAAAGTCGATATAAAGTACTAAGTTATTCAGGTTGTATGTTTGTACTTACTCATTTAATTTCTACATTTAATCCAATTCAATTAGGACCAACGTAATTAATTTCGACCATACTAGAGTAAATTCTTACCATATAGCATATATCTAGAGAATAAATTGCATTCATTAGTACAGCTAGTATCGTCTGATTTCCTTACAAGTTATTTGTATACATTCCTTGAGTGCTCCAGAAATATTTGCATTCGTAAATTTTCTCTCGTTAATGAATCAATTAAACCACAGATACTATATTCAGTTAATCGTTATGTAAAAACATGACAAATTAAACAGAAATAGCTCATGCTATGTTAAAATATACTGAGACATATACGAGTATACACTTTTTGATAGCCTCCACTTTATGGAACATTATAAAAATTTAGCTTCGATTTCTCCTAGATCCTTAATATCACGACCTTTTAGCTACATGAGGAAGTAACCGCTATAATGTGAATTCATCTTTTTATTTTCTTGGAAAATTAGAAATCTCAAAATTTAGATAGCATTTCATAAAATAACAATAAAAAACAAAGTCATTATATTTCAATGGCAATACTAGTAGTTATTATTATCGATTTTCTTAATTTCATTACTGATCATTGATTTACTTTATAACATTGCCAAGGATTTGCGTGAGAAATAAATATTTTGTTTTTGTTTTGTTTTTTTTTTTATGTTTAAATCTTCATTTATAGTTTTAACAAGTTTATATAGCGTTCTTATCATAAGTCTTTTAAAGGACCTCACTTTTGAAATATTGTTTGATAAAAATTTCATAATCCAGCCTAACTTTGAAAATATACCTATATATTATTTTAAAGAAAACCTGACCCCCTTCTTCCATTTAGAACTTGTGACTACGGCGTGTTAAGTCTTTTGACCTAAGCTTCAATAATAAAATTTTACCTTGCTAAAAATATTTTCCAAATAAGCAAATACCTGTTATTTCTTTCGCCCAACTGATGCTAGGACTATATTTATGAAGACATACTTTGAAGGCCATTTCACAACAACACCAATATTAAGCTTTCTTAGAACTGACTTGATTATAGTAGCTCAAAACAGTAAATAAGTTTACGTGACTGTTGTGTATAGATACGAATATATAGAACCTTTAACTTAGGAGCATATTGAGAGAAAAGAGAGAATAAAATATGTATGATTAAAATTAAGGTCTTTATTTCCATTTTGGCCTCTCAGTTCTATATGGACTAACCTATTTATTCTTTGTACGCTATAATGGATTACCATCAAGTTCAGTCCTAGAATCTAAAGTGCTGTTTTTTACCTTATTAAGATAAAATGGAGGAAGTCTTTTGAAATTAATATACATTACCATTGCATGATTGTTAAGGTACAGTTTTAAAAATATAAATTCGATAACTCGTCTTAAAAATAAGTTATTTGAGTTTTCAAACAAAAATATCAACAGCATTTTTTCTAATTATAAGAGCAATTGAAATAGACCAGTCTGGAGATGCGAAAAACTATTTTGTCACTGATAACAAAAAAGAAAGTGATGTTTAATTTAAACTATAAAACAGAGATAAACTTTCGAGTCTCTTTAAATATCAAATTTGCTAATTTTACTTCTCAGTAGCTAATACCCAAACAGAATACTATTTAAGTCAAGGAAACAAAAGTCATTATTTAATGAGGTACAACAAATATTTAAAGACAGAGTCACCCTACACATGAAGCGTCTCCCGTTTTTCATTCAATAACTTACGTTAATACAAAGTAAATGTGCGAATAACGCTCTCCATGTATCGTCACGATGTCAAATTGGATTAAGGAAACCGTTACGGAATAGTAATAAGAAAAAATAGATATACATATGTAACTGAAGATAAAGTCAGAATAGAGAATGTTGAACCGTTAATAAATCGATTGACGATAGTGGATGTGAATGAAAATATCAAAAAAGGTGACAATTATTATACTGAAATTTAAACCAATTAATAAAGTTTATTCTATAGTAAGGTCACAATATTTTTTCTTCGGTAAACACAATGACTTAGAGAGACGAAGTTATATGTCACTTTCTCATAGAAACAATTCTTTGAAGACGAGGAAATGAGGTGTACTAAACATTTACGTTATACCTACTTATTTTTATTTTATTAAGTAGTATCTACTTTAGAAAGTCAATCCTAAACAATAATTATACTAACCACAGCACAGAAAATGGTTCTTATGTCAATGAAAAATCATGTATTCAACAAAAAGGAACCATCTTACTAACTTATATACAAGACTCTTACTTTTTAATATGTTTTCGAAATCATTGTTAAGACTTCCATAATAATAATTAAGTCTCATGTGTTAGTTACTGGGAAAATAATGAATGTGTCACAAATTATATTAAACTTGCATAAATCTTCATTACATTCTATTATTTAGTTTATAATTTATCTCGCGAACAGTTCATTCAGACATCAAAGTAGACGAAACTTAATTAAGTTACTTATAATACAATATCCAGACGGATAAGTAGGCACTGATTGTCTTTATATTTCTTTTTTATTTTTATGTGTTATAAACATGTTTCTATATCTACAGTTTTTTTTAATGCAATTATTGTATAGAAAATTCAATAAAAATCATTATAATTGATATTATAATATATTCGTGAATACTAACATAAGTTAATTAATACTTATTATTGTACATCAATAAAACTTTAAGATTTCAGTTTTGATCACCAGATATTATTTTCCAACACTTTCTCTACAATTTTCAGAATTATCTTCAAAATATTAAAATCACGCCGTTTTGGCAGAAACCTCTATACGGACCTTATTGCTTTTAATAATAAAAATTACTGTTAATCCGTCAGGGACGTCTCTACTGTACAAATTATTTATATTTTTATAATATTTTTAATACTTTATAGGTTACTCTCAATACTATATGTAAAATGTAAGACATCGCATCGCATGCAACAAAAAAATTTAAGCCTTTCATTTAATTCTCAGTTGATACTTCTTTTTGCAAGTTTTGTTTGAATACTAGGTATCTAGAACAATGACAAATGAATGTACGAATGACAGCCACAGAAGTTTTTGTTATATCAGTGGTCGTAAAAGCATAGATGAGAGTTAAAAAATTATCTAGAGCCTTGTATTTCGGGCTTGATTGACTATAAAAAATAAGCTCCTCACCTACTCCTAGTCCCTAAATGTTTCCACCTGATCACTATTTCCTATTATGACCACACCAGGTCAAGTTTTAAAAGTATTTCATAAAAAATTTGCTTTGCTCTCTTGATAAACTTTTTCCAAAAAAAAAAATAATCTTAAAGGACAAATGATAGTACAAGTACACAAGCAGCAGCTAAAAAACATAGCACTATGAACAATATTTACAAGTTCATTGAATTCACCCAGAAAGCTTTATTATTTTATGTTAAAAATTAAGAAATCTTAAAAAAATTGTTGGAAAATGTAAGAAATCAAACACCATAGTAATGAATTCAGGCCTGGTGACTTTTTAAGATTTAATTACCAAGTTTGATAGTGACTAGCAATAACTAACTTAGCCAACTAATCTCATTTAGCAATTACCGTTATTAATGTTATTTAGTATCTAATCGATATTCATTGTAAATATAATGTCTGGAGTAACTTCTTAGTGTGAAAGGAATTGTTTCTTATTGGATAGTCGATAAGATGTGAGATAAAAGCAAAACAAAAACAGCAGCAACAAAAATTCACATTCTATTTACAAATAATAAATTTTTCATGATACAACAATAATTAAATGATTAGTGCGGTCAGTGTACTTTAAGATGAATTTATCAACGAAAATATGTTGTCGAATTAAAAAAAAAACATGGATCTCCAATTCAACTTGTATGACATATTATTTAGGTTTCTTAGCGTTGTTTTCGATACCAGCCGTGAAATTTCATCAACAGCAATGTTTTACATAATATACTTAATAAGAGAATATTTTTAAAATTTCCTCCATTAATATAGCAACTTGAAACTATTGCAACTTTTAGAATAAATTAAAATTTACATACAGAAATTTGTTTCTGTACGTATGGCTATCCAGCAAAAAAGGATAATGTAACAAATTAAATCACTTTTCATTTCATTATTATTCAACGATAAATTTAAAAGAACGTGCTGCATTCCAGAATGAGAGGCTGTAATGAAGACTATTAATTAGTAACGTAGAAATTTTTTTT